CCCACAGAACTGGGCGATGGTATCAAGGACTCGCTGTGTCAGTACTTGGAGAGCGACATCCACGTGAACGAGGACGTATCAACGGCAACGAGCACCTCAACGAACTCAACAACCCCAACGTCAACATCTACCACTACTCTCTCAAGTGCGTCATCGACCCAGGAGATGTCAACCAGCTCGTACAACGGCACCACACAGGAGAGCACCGATTCCACGGAAACGAGCGCACCATCAACTAGCTCCAAATCCAAGACGGGCAGCCATGACGACGACGATGACAAGAAGAGTTCCGACAACGACGACTAAGTGGGGGACATTCGAAGCGATTACATATTTGTATATGAGTTCAAGTTGAGTGGCATATAATGAAGGACAAGGAACAGCGCGTTCCGTTTGGTTTTTTAGGAGAAATGCAACCGTATTTGTTAGCTTCATGTGTTGTTCTGAAAACAATGTTATCATATCGAACTTCAGTAGGATCGTCTGATGGATGGTAGCCACCGAAAAACACCGCCCACGCCGTTGCACTCTGTAGAGGACACCACTGTCATTGCAGCACGAACGAAGACAGCCCATGAGGCACAAGTCATTGCTAAAACGATCCCCATCGAAACAGCGTCAGCGTTCGCGCATGGCGCTGACGAATGCACTTCCTATCTTAGTCACCATGAGCGGACAGACCTGTTTTTCGTGAGTCCCCGTTCAAGCGTTCTGCTGCGGCGTCTGTTAGTCAAACCGGCTTGAAGATCCACAAGGTGGTTGTTCGTGATTGCCGTCGAGGATATGGGCGGAATGCTGGCACAACTTCGATCACCACGTGGATTAACGCTTACTCGATCGACCCAGAGACGATTAATTCCTATCCGAGCAAATTATTTAGGCGAGACGTCGTCGAAGCGCACAACCTAGCGCAGAAATTAAACCTCGCGATCAGGACAGTGACCAATGTACGCCGAGGTGTCTACAATATTAACTGCATGCGCATTCGATGAAGCTGTGTTTCGCCAGTCTTAGAACGGGCTCCGCTATGTTACTGTTATTTCAGTAATCGATGACGGTGACCCGGTCTATGCAGTTTTATTGTCGTTCGCTTCCCGAAGAAGGGCTGGGTGGGAGACGCCGATTCAAGAGTTTTCTTTGTGGCGCGCTGTTGCGTTGAGCTAGGTGTACATACGCTACCTCAATCTCACCCGATCATGGCACTCTTTCGTCTTGCATCTTCCTTTCCCTGACCGGGCATCAAACCACGATCAAGTCCAGCGCGCGTCAGTTAGGTCAAACCAGTTCCTCACTTTCGGAATTGCATCGCCCAGAAAACACCGTCAACCAAATTCGACTAACACGTTGAGCATTATGGTCAGGACTTTCACCGTCATTGTAACGTTTGCCGCCTTCACTGTGACCACCGTTTCGGCTGCTTCTGTCCCTGACGGAACATGGCCCACTAGCCAAGGCGACGTCTACTACACGG